GACAGTACTCATGACTGAGATGCGAGACTGGCCACTTCGCGGCTCCAAGACCCTAACCGTTTAGGGGTTTAGGGTTTAGGATTTAGTTTTTTAGGGTTTAGGGTTTAGGGGCCCGAAAACAACACGGCAAGAAACAGCACGGCAAAAAGGCGGAGAACTCACGATCGGCTTTAAGAAAACGCAGCGCGAGGGAAGTAAGAGATCATCCTGCTAATGTCGTGACCTAGCCATTAGAATAGTGTTTTGGGGCAGATTCAAAAGCCCACGGAATAGCATTAGTAAGCTAACTATTTTGGCTTCGATATTCTGCTGCAGGCGCTCGGGATAACACCGTGCAGTTACCAGGCACTAAAACGCTAAATCCTGAACCCCGTTTGGCTACTGGACTGAAGCCTATCCCAAACCCTAAACCCTCAACCCTAAACCCTAAACCCTGAACCCTGAACCCAAGCGCCGAAACTTCGAACCCTTATTCTGGCTTCTCAGCCGTCCCGTCCCGGGGCCTCCATGACACAGCACTCTTGCACAGAAAGCCATCTACCTCAGAATGGGAGGTTCTGGCGGTTTAGGGCTTGGGTTGAGGGGTTTAGAGACTGAGCGCTTGGAGGTTTTAGGGTGGTTATAGACTCAAAACCCTAAAACCTTAATCCTAAATCCTTAACCCTAAGCCCTTAACCCTGAAACCCTGAAACCCTGAAACCCTGAAACCCTGAAACCCTGAAACCCTGAAACCCTGAAACCCTGAAACCCTAAACCCTAAACCCTTAATCCTAAATCCTTAACCCTAAACCCTTTTTGCCCTTAACCCTAAACCGTAAACCCTAAACCCTAAACCCTAAACCCTAAACCCGAGCCACAAGTCTCCCTTTAAAGAGATATAGTACTCTTCAAGCGGTAGTTAGACGCGCCACACCACAAGGGTACAGTTAAGGGGCTTCGGGTTTAGGGTTTAGGGTTTAGGGTTTAGGGTTTAGGGTTTAGGGTAGCGAAGAGCGTTTAGGAGCACAAAAATGCCGAGTTTTGGGCTGGACTTTGGAATGTCTATAGAATTTTAAACCGCTAGAAACCCCCCAGAGATCCTTTTGGAGCCCTTCACTGATGCCCCTAAACCCTAAACCCAAAACCCAAAACCCTAAACCCAAAACCCAAAACCCTAAACCCCAAACCCAAAACCCTAACCCCAAAACCCAAAACCCTAAACCCAAAACCCTAAACCCCAACCCTAAACCCTCGCCTTCTGGGGACTCGCAGGCCCACGTGGTTTAGGAAGTCCTGAAGCCAAAGTCTTCGGGATTAGGGTTTAGGGGGTTTAGGGTTTAGGGTTTTAGGGTTTAGGCTTCAGGGTTTAGGGTTTTAGGGTTTATGGGTTTAGGGCTTTTACGGTTTAGGGGTTTAGGGCTTTTTTGTTGACACCTTTTCCGACTGCTGGGTTTAGGGGTTCAGGAATTACTGCGTTGCCGCACAACCGCTCCTCATCCTAGGAAGCTCCACCGTGGATCTTCTGCACAGGTAATTTGATGCTGAACCCAATGCCTCACCTTCAAAACATCAACACTCCAAACATCCAACCTATTACCCCACTCCATGCCCAAACAACTTCAAGCCCAAATCCCATACCCTAAACACCAACCCTCTTAAACCCTAACTAAGCCTTTTGAAGGTGGCCCACAATGAATGGAGCCTCCGTCCCTCGGTGCTTCAAGACCCACAAATCCGGAGACTGAAAAAAGACAATCATCATACCTCAGCCCAGAGTGCCCAATCATTTAATTCATAGTACTAAGGCCCTTACAACTACCGTAGATTCCTTAAATACGGGTACGGGGCTCCCTGCGAAACTCTAAAACCTGCGCATAAAAAAGCCTTTGGATTTCAGTTCTTCCAGGTATGTCGCCGCGTTCAAGGTATCGCATGATATTTGTACAACTATAACATCATAGGTCATGCATAGATCGCCACGCTTTAATTTATGCACAAATGTAGCTTGAATCTCATAAGAAGCCATTTATGGTTTGAGATAGCCTCCTCCATTCAGGCTTGCAGTGGGGCCAACATTCACTACTTCGCAAATAAGCAGGCCAGGAGAAAAGAGTGCAACCTTACAAAACCTTTATCAAAAGCCCTTGGAAACCCTTACAAAACCTGCATTTTGAACTTACAGCCTAAACTCTTGCGACTAAGCCCGTTATACCTCAGGGTCGTAACCTACTATCTTGCAAGTAAGGTTCCGAGGCGACGACGGGTTGGGGCTTAGGGGAATTGTAAGAGGATGTAAAGCCCGGCTGCCATGCATCTTCTTGTTCCTCTGCGGAGACTTTGTGACGCGCCTTACTGGGGAAGCTTCAGAGCGAGCCCGAGACCCGGTAGTCAGTGAACATATCGTGAAATCTTAAGTCTTACACCAGCCAGGGCTTCCTACTTACCGTGGTTTAACCGGGAGATATTGGGTTCTATGAGTTACCTAAAATCATCTGCCTAAGTGGACCCTCGAAATAACAGAGAGTATGCCCAGAGGCCCATTATCCTCAAAGGGTTTAGCTTCTTTGGAAAGGCTTTTTCGAATCTGCAAAGTCCAGAATCCCTGCGTAGGGTTTAGGATGTATTCTATGCCTACCAAAACCCTACTCGACACCCTAAACCCTAAACCCCAAGCCCTAAAACCCTACTCGAGGCATAGTTGCCTTGCTAGCGCTGAAGAAACCCTGCAGAAAATCAACCGCAAAATCCGAAGACCTCCTGGATACCATTCTCGTGATCTGTCGGGATCTACGAAGGTGGTCCTTCAAAAGTTCCTTATTGTTCGAGTGCTTCTCTAAAAGACGAAATCTACAGCTGTGGAAGGGCTCCATCGGGGTCCTTGAAGGTAGGTGTACCATATCTAGAGGTGTCCACAACAAGGATAAACCCGCAAATCGCCCAACAAAGTTGCCTCACACTCCTGGTGCCCGGAGAGCCGCACCCTAGGGGTTCAAGGACATAGTACTCATATGTACTCATATACTCTCCGAAATAGTAACCTACATAACTACTATCCGAAAGCTAAGCTAAGTACCTAAGTACTGGGTCCTTTGGACCCTCGGGGAAATGACCTGTAATTCAGAAACCTGCCTTGAAGTGTATAGCGCTACCAGGATGCGGCTCGTCCGGCACGAAAATGAGCGGCCTCTTATGCAGCTTGAAAGCGTCGTCCACCTTTTGGGCTCGAGATGGGTTCTGATTTCGGGATAGATGTCGGATTTTAACTGGGTTTTGGGTTTTGGGGTGTAGGGTTTAGGTTCCACTTGCTGAGGTTTTGCTTTTGGCGGCGGCACTGCAAACCCCACTAGAACACTGCACACCCTGAACCAAACTGCAGGCGTGATTCTATTACAATCTTCCAGGGACCCAAAAAAATTTGCCACAAACTCTAACGAAATGCTTGTCGTTGTATTACCCTTATCGTGTTGGGTTTAGGGTTCCGAATCTAGGATTTAGGGATTAGGGTCTAGGGATTAGGGTCTAGCGGCCTAGGATTCAGGGTTTTGGGTCTCAGTCTGAGGCCTCTTTGGGCTAAAGCTCTGCGGTTAGGCATGTTAGCAATAATTAGAATAGGGTTTAGGGTTTAGGGTTTAGGGTTTAGGGTTTAGGGTTTAGGGTTTACGGCTTAGGGTTTGGGGTTCAGAGTCCTGGGTTTAGGGCCCCGGAAAATCCGGAAGTCCTACGAAAAGTTGATGGTCCTGGTGTTCAGCCGTTCAACAAGTGTTCGTTGACAACAACAGATACAGCGGGCTCGGGGGCAACCTTTGCTATAAATATAATTCGAACCTCTTTACAGTCATGCAGGCTGGTCATTTTCAGGGCTTAAGGTGTAGAGCTCTGTAATGGGTCTCTTGACCAACCCGAAGGAAGCCAGATATTTGAGTGTGTGCAGGCATAGAAACCCCAACCTCACAGCTACTAGATAAGAAAACCCGCCACTCTCAGATCATTGCCGGGCTGCTTATTGGAACTCATGGAAAGTACCTGTAATGAATCACAAGCCCTGGAATAATCTAGGGTATACTCCTTCGCCCCAGGGCGCAATGAGCGGTCAGGCGGGTAATCAGCCCTTGCGAACTCAGAGCCCTTCGGATGCAAAACTGCAAGCCCTAAACCCGACGGTTTAGGGTTTAGGGTTTAGGGTTTAGGGTTTAGGCTAACCCCTAAGCCCTAAACCCGAAAACTCTATAACCCTAAAGCCCTAACCCCTGAACCCTAAACCAGTCTGGAAACCCGGATTCGATTGAAGGGGCAGTAATAAGGGTCATGGGACTTAGTAAGTAGGGTTATAACTAAGGTAACTATACTTATAACCCCAATTAGGAGACTTATAACCTTACTTACTAAGTCCCATGATCCTCCAAGTAATAACCCTAAACCCTAAACCCTAAACCCTTACTCTGATCCTCCAAGTAATAAGGGTCCCTTCCGGAGAACCTCAACAGGACGCCTCGGCCACGCGATGGTGCTTCTGAAGGATGTAAAGGCTTTCCTCAAGGGTTTAGGGTTTAGGGTTTAGGGTAAACCCTAAACCCTAAACCCTAAACCCTAAACCCTATCTGATTTAAGTTACCATAGCATAGAAACCATATTATTTCTTTAATACAGATCCTATTTATGGTAACTTAAACTAACTTCCTGAAAGAAGAACCCAGTAGAGGCTTTCCTCCGGGTTTGCAGGCTTCGGGCTGACAGACTTGGGGCCGAACTCTTGACGGGTTTTGGACTTCGGGGTCTGAGGGGTGGCGGTGTCGGGTGTGCTTAAACGATCATGGGACTTAGTAAGTAGGGTTATAACTAAGGCAACTATACTTATTACCCCAATTAGGGGACTTATAACCTTACATACTACGTCCCATGATCCTCCAAGTGAGGTTTTGGGGAGGAGACGAGGAGATGAGGGTCTAGCAGGGGTTTGGGGTTCCATTTGGATTCGAGGTTCCAGACCTCCCTAACCGGAGCGCAAGCCCGGAATCATCCCCATCTCTGGAACACCTCAAACCTGAAACCCTAAAGAAAGCCTCAACCCCAGTCCCAGACCCAAACCGGTTGAGGATAGCGAATGTGCCGAGGCCATGATGTAGTCTTCCCATGTTGTGCTTGGCTATACCCCAAATAGCAGAAATGGACATAGCAGAACCGGGGCAGTTTGCTGACAAACAAACCACATCACCCCTCAATGCCATGGGTAAGCGAGCAAGTCGAGAAGTAAATCAATACTCGCACAATGAACATGGGCATGTATATATATATATATGTATATATATATATATATATACACCTATATAAATATGTGTGTATATGCACATGGTTTATATATTTGCATAGATCTGAACATCTGTATGTCTATATCTATACTAGTATATGAATCAAGTGTGTATCTATATGTGTATATATATATACACACACCACGCTGACTGTATAGTATGGGCGAGGGTGATACGTGTTCACATCCGTCACTCCATCTATCTAACCAGGCATCCAGACAAACACACGGACGCACAGACAGTGGACGGACGGACGGGCAGACAAACAAACAGACACGGATATACACAAGCATACAACATAAATAAACAAACATACATACTTCCATGAATCCATCCGTCCATACATACAACCATACAGCCGCGAGCACATACTAACATGAAAGTACACAAACATAAACATGAACATCTGCAAACATAAGAACGCCGTAATCTCGACAAGGACAAGGTGAAAGGAAAATGACGATTCTTCAATGGAAGTCGGAACCCATCCCCTGCCACCGGCAGACCTGCAAGCAGAAATAAGGCTTCTTTTGCACCCGCTGACAACACCAGTCAGAAGCGCCACACTGCACTCTGCACCCAGCTTCATTGTCTCGCTCCTCAACCCTGATCCATACTACAACCCGGCTGTGCAGCTATTACATGGTTCAATAGCCCCATACCCCAGACCCCTAAACCCTCTAACATAACGAACGACTTGGGTGTAAGGGGCAGGTCCTAAGTTGCACTTCAAGAGTACTTGGATCTAAGGAATCCGAATACACTGACAACATAAAACGAGACCCCCCACCCAAACACTAAACTGGCCCAAGGACCCAGTTTTGCAGTTGGCCGGTGCATATCCTGCTACTCGTTCCACGATGCCTGTTCCTAAGCACTTGAGACGCCAAACCTGTCATGCTATGGCTGTATGCTCATACAGGAGCAAGAACACAGTTAAGAACGGTTTGAGGAACGAGCTTGCTAATTCTTGAGGCTCCTGAGGTAGCGGGTCGCCTTCACTCATTCTCCTCCCGCTTGCGCTTGTGGTCGGTTTGCTGATTGCCCTTGAAGGTGTCCTGGGTCACACATTCGTGGTGCTTCTTACCCCCTACGACGACATCAACCCTGACCTAGACGCACAAGTTTGCTAAAACCACGCAACAAAAGCCCCCTATTAACCCTGAACCCTAAACCCCCCTAAGCTGCCCTAAACCCTAAACCCTAAACCCTAAGCTGCCCTAAACCCTAAACCCTAAACCCTAAGCTGCCCTAAACCCTAAACCCTAAACTTTTAAACCCTAAACCCTAAGCTGCCCTAAACCCTAAACCCTAAACCCTAAGCTGCCCTAAACCCTAAATCCTAAACTTTTAAACCCTAAACCCTAAGCTGCCCTAAACCCTAAACCCAGAGAGCCTTCTTAAAGGATTCCTAAACACCTCGAAGCATCCAAGGCTGCGGCTGCCTCCATGTCCGGCACTCCGGCTGAGAAGAGGCCGATACGAAGCATGATATCCTGGGTTCAGGGGTTTTGGGTTTTGGGTTTAGGGTTCAGGGTTTAGGGTTTAGGGTTCAGGGTTTAGGGTTTTGGGTTTAGGGTTCAGGGTTTAGGGTTTTAGGGTTTTGGGTTCACCGTTTAGGGTTTTTGTTGCTGTTTAGGGCTCACGGTTCAAAGTTTTTTGTGTTTAGGGTCCAGGGTTCAGGGTTTAGGGTTTAGGGTTCAGGGTTTAGGGTTTTGGGTCCCTTAAAAACTATTTATGAAGAGGTACCTCTATAGGAACCACAAGGGAAACTTTTAAAGTTTCCCAAAAGTGCCACCTAGGATCAGGCCACTGTCTCATGAGCTCGGCAAAGGCTGGCAGCTTGATGACATCAACCATGTGCTCTTTAATAAATGCCAGGCAAGCTTTCTCTAGATGCCCGGCTTCAAGCAGATGTGCCTGGCAAAGAATACCGCTGACCTCCGAGTTGCTGAGTTGGTCACAGAGCTGACTTTCGCACCACCGCAGTAGTCTCGTGACCTCGTACTTGTGACTCACAGCCAGCAATGCCTGCAAACGCGCGATGCGTGAGAAGCCTTCTGACTTCTCGCCCTGACTCAGCCTGTGTGCCATCAGCTCCGTGACGTTTGGGAATGTGTCTGTGTAGAGGAACTGCAGAAAAGCTCTGAAGGTGGCCGGATCGCAATCCTCAATCACGACGACCTTGGACATGGATTCCTGCATACCGACTGTCAGCTGCTTTTGAAAGACCTCGGATCTTGCGCAGAGCACCGGTGAGTGCGCCTGGATCGAATATCCCTGTACCACGAACTCGACATCGCTGCAGGTGCCTTTCTCCCATAGAGCGCGATTGTCTTGACTCATGGTTGGTCCTGATGCCAAAGTCCCTAGCCCAAAACCCGTAGATATCAAGGATTCTGAAACCAGCCAGAAGAACCCGGGCTGCCTCTAGCTATGGCAGTGTCCTATCTTACTATGGGCCCCAAAAGTTGAAGGTTACCCCATCGGTTAGAAATAGACCCATTCTTTAAGGAGCCTGGTATTTCGATACGCAATAAGCACGACACCAGAAACCCCGTAAGGAAGCCGAAAGCCGACAGCGTAGGAGCTATGCCCTGGTCTACCGACTAACGCCCAGACCATCCTAGGCCCCTTTACACTCCAAGAAGCCTTGACCTTATTTAACACAAAACCTGAGACCTAAATCCTATGACCAAAAAACTAACCCTAAACCCTAAACTGATAGACTGCCCTAAACCCTAAACTTATAGACTACCCTAAACCCTAAACTCATAGACTACCCTAAACACTAAACTTATAAACCCTAAACTGCAGGAGCCTGGTATGTCGATTCCTGGACTCAGAGGTCGCGACTCGCAGTCTCCCTCAAGGCGCACTTCGAGCACAAACTTCACTGTCAGGATGTCCCCCTCTACCTGGGCGGTTTGGGCTTGTGTCTAGAACTCAGTGTTTAGGGTTTAGGGTTTTTAACTTTTTAATCAGGGTTTAAGGTTTAAGGTTTTTAACCTCACTTTATACCAGTAGCCAGAACGTTGGAACAGAATTATCCTCATACCATTGAAGTAAAGTATAAGGGATCCTAGCACTAATCTTCCTAAACCCATGTTCCAAATTTTCTGGGATTCGCTGTAGGATTTGTAGGCGGTCTGTAATTAACATAGGGGCCTCAATAATTAGAACAGGGTTTTAGGGGTTCCGTATAATAATTTTAGCAAAATAGACCCCCAAAACCTATCAAGGCCCCTGTATACATAAAGTGGGTATGGCCATGCGAACCCACAGCATGGACCTGGCAAGCACAAGCTATAAACACCCAAAGCGATATCCTAAACCGCAAAGCTCTAAACCTTGACCCCCGAACCCAGGCAGCCCCCCCAAAAAAAGGCGCGATCGAAACCGCAGAACCCCCTAGACATCTTCGGGGACCAAGGACCCACTCCGAGCGAAGCAGCTCCTCGTGCGTGAGACCAAAGATGCCCATTTTTGCAGGGTCCGAACCTGTTCGGTTTAGTGAACCCTAAACCCCAAGCCCTAAACTCCTAAATTTTTTAGACCCTAAAACCCTGTATCCTAAACCCTTAACACCCTAAACCTTACACCCTAAACCCGAAACCGAAGTTTGGGTCTTAGGTGTTAGGCCAGGGTGTTGTAGGTTCTTTTGGGTCGATGGCTTGCGGATTAAGGAGTGTGGTCGGGTGCGTTGGGATTCTAGGGCGGCTAGAACGGTGCTCATAGGGCTTCACGGTTTGGTTTCGGGTACACCCTAAACCCTAAACGCCCTAAACCAGTACAGTAGATAAGGATTCTTCTTGGGGGTTTCTAGGGTGCACAGGACTGCAATTTTGGCTTCAGGGTCTACCTTTAAGGGTCATCACGGTTTGGGGTTTCAGGGCTTCGGTTTAGGGTCTTGGGTTTGGGTACACGGTTGAGGGCTGGGCGTGCTTCGCTTTATAGCTTGTGCGCCAAGGGATTCATGGGGCTCTAAGTGGGAGTTTCCGAAAATAGGGGATCCTAATATAGTACCCTAAATAGTAGGACCCTTATTATAAGGACCCCAAAATAAGGTACCCCAATTTTCGGAAACTCCCAAATATTGAATGCTTTATAAGACGTACAAACCCTTCCTGAAGTCCTGCCGAGCTTCTGCCGTCGTGCACGTCAGGGCCGAAGGCTTTGCAGCCATGTTCATCCTGGACAGGCTTTGGGTTTAGAGTTCAGGGTTTAGGGTTTAAGGCCCGGGTTCTGGGAGAGCTATTTTTGTTCAAGGTTGCAGCCCCCTTTTGTTGTAAAGCTAGATGAACCACATGTCATTAAAGGATACTAAACCCAGTATGCAGTCGCCAATATTCCCGAGCAGCCCTCTGCATACGCCGCAAACAAATGCTAGAAATGTCCCCTTACCTTAAGCCCAAACCTCTTCTAACTAAGATGGTCCTTATCAATTATTCGGGACCGCGCCTCCAGGACCTCCGTAGAGGTTTCGCCCCACTGAACGAAGTCTCCGCCCCGCACTTTCACGAAGATGCGGTAGCGAAGTGCTATTCGGCCCCCTTCCTGGAATGCTTTGGTTTCGTGGAATTGTATACCCTTGGGCTCGGCACACCCTTTAGGGTTTAGGGTCTAGTTTTGGGTTAGCAACACTTAATGGAAACAGAATCACGTCGGGAATCCCTTGCTGGCCCTCAGGGGAACACTTTCCTTGAACCTAATCGGGCCGCAAGATCTATGGCTCAACAGAACCCCTCGACTCCACACTCCAAACCATACAAGACACCGAAAAAGGCACTAAACTCAAACACTTCGAAACCCCAATCCCACCCTCCAGGAACGCTCAGAGTACTTTTGAAAGAATCCGAAACTTCCCCTATAAGAAACCCTTAGTTATCGCATCCTTAGAACCCTTGAAAGAAACCCTGTGCCCCAAACCCGAAGCCCTTTTTAAGAACCCGTTTCCCCCTAAGACTTTATTTAAAGAACCCTAAACCCTAAACCTTTTTAAAAGAACCCTTGAACCCCTTAATTAACCCTGAACCCTAAGCCCTTATTAAAGAACCTGAACAAGGAACCCTTAAAAGGAACCCCGTAACCCTAAGCTCTTATTGAAGAACACTCAAGAAGGAACCCCTTGACCTTAAAGCCTAAGGCCTTATTAAAGAACCCTTAAAAAGGTAAAGAACCCTTAAAAAGGAACCCTTCGACTCTAAACCCCTAAACCCAAAGCCCTTATTAAAGAACCCTTACAAAGGAACCCTAAACCCTAAACCCCAAACCCTAAACCCCGACCCCTAAACCCCTAAACCCCTCAAAAAGGAACCCCTAAACCCTACCCCCCTAAACCCTAAACCCCAAACCCTAAACCCTGAACCCTAAACCCCTCAAAAAGGAACCCCCCCTTTGAAAGGATCTCTGGCAGAGGCGCCCAGAGCAGCACAGCCAGAGACCCGTGCTGAGCGGATCCCGCAGGGCCCGGCCCGGGCTCCCAGAGGAGCATCCCTTGTAGGGTTTAGGGTTTAGGGTTTAGGGTTTAGGGTTTTAGGGTTTAGGGTTTAGGGTTTAGGGTTTTAGGGTTTTAGGGTTTATAGGGTTTCGGGTTTTAGGGTTTAGGGTTCAGGGTTTAAGGTTCAGGGTTTAGGGTTTAGGGTTTAGGGTGTAGGGTTCGGGCTTAGGGTTTAGGTCTACGTTTTCTTTGTTTTGGTTCGTGTATCTTGTTAGCGGCTGCCTGACGGCGTTGTGTTGTTGCGACACTTGTCACTGTTGTTCTGCTCGTTAAGGTGTGTTCCGTTGCTGGTCCTGCATCTTTTGTCATCGGTTGGCTTTTCGGTGGTGGAGGGCCGGCGAGGGTAGTCGGTTCGTTTGTCAAGAACTCCAGAGACACCCTACCGCCCATACAGATAGTGCAGAAAATACCTTGTGGATCCGTATAAGGAGAAGCGCAGCGAAGCAGATCCCAAAACAGCTACACCGTAGACAGGGTCAACAGGTGCTTGTAGCAAACCACTACAGGTGGAGGCTGCAACATAGAGGCTCACCTTCAAGCATTCTCTTGATGGCTAAAGCCCAGAGCTCATGGTCAGGCCCGCCTCCATCTGGGTTGTAGGCAAACTCGAAATCTTGGCCGCCCACCTGTCTCGTTGGTTGGGTGTAAGGAAAATGAGCTCTGGGGGGTTGGAACCAAAGCCGATCAAGCCATAGAAAGGAATGAAACTACCTGCGCGAAACCTCAAAACTCTGCAGACACCCGCTACCCCGCTCTCAAACCCCTGTCAGGGAGCTATAAACCCCTTTGAGGGCCTCAAAAAGGACGGGTTCCGCACTGGAAGCTACAGGGTGTAACGACCCTTCCACAGCGAATCCTTAAACCTCAAACCCTAATCCTAGGCCCTACCTGGACCCCAAGAACGCTATATTTTGTGAATCTCCTTCTTTTGATTTCCTTATACAAATCCCTCAAACGGTCCATTCTTTTGGGTGTGGGCAAGCCCTACAACGTCGGCCCCCCGAAGGCTGCCAACCTGGAAGATCTTCGACTGTACGTAATTCAGATCTTCCTGCTCCAGCATGCTGCGCACCCAAGACATGGAGGTGATCTTCCAGATGTACTCCTGGGCTGCGAAATCAGGCAGGGCTTCGGGTTTCGGGTTCCGGGCTATGTTTTGGGTGCAGGGGAGTCTAGGGCGTAGGATTCATGTAAACCGATCTCTTCTTCCAGATATACACTTTTCGGCGATATGAAGCAAAAGGTCCATCACCCACCAGCACACCCGGAAAGAGGGAATCAACATGTACACTCGCCAGCAATTTCATCCTTCAGGAACCCTCCCTAGAAAAATAAACAAACCCGCAAGTGTGCAAAAAAGATTCTAAATAAACAATATAAATAAATAAGATATATATATATATATATATGCATGTATACAGTATGCATGTATACATGTTTTAGACGCCGCAACCCGCTTCCGTTCGTCGCGAACTCAACAATGCACGACGTCGAAGTCGGCAATCAACCAGGCACTCTGCACCCAATGCCCGACCAATCTGAAAACGCAGATCTAAGCCCAAATCCCGAAACTTACGCTCAACCCTAATTACAGGAAGCCAAAATCCGAAAACAAAGCACTCCAAGCCAAACCACTGAAGCCTAAAATCCTTGAGCCCAGAACCCTCAAAGGCTCAAGCCCGTAAGCCCAAAACCCTCAAAGCCTAAAATCCTTGAACCCTAAACCCGAAAACCTGAAACCCCTAAACCCTAAACCCTAAAAGCCTGAAGTCCTTAAATCGAGGCACGCCCTTGGCGACTCTGTGGCTACAGTTCGTCGTTTCGCCATCGAAACCTTCGTCTGCTGGAGCTCCGGGTTTAGGGTTTAGGGCTTAGGGTTTAGGGTTTAGGCTAATGGGCTTAAGGTTTAGAGTTTTTGGGGGCTTCAGGGTTTAGGGCTTTAGGGTTTTTGGGGTTTTGGGCTTCAGGGGTGTTGGGTTTGGGGCTTTAGGGTTTTAGGGCTTAGGGCTTATATGGGTTTATAAGAGCCACAAGCTCTAAAGCTCCTACCCAAATTAGGGTCCCTATCAATAGAAGCCCATTAAAGCCCCTGTTTAAGGTACGGGAGTGCACTAACTCGGGGTCTACATGGGGGTTTCCGAAAATAGGGGACCCTAATATAGTACCCTAAATAATAGGATCCCTATTATAAGGACCCCAAAATAAGGTACCCCTTATTGTCGGAAACTCCCACATGTGAGGCTCTGTAAACCCGGAATCCCGGCAAGAATCGATCGATCAGCAGCGTCTCGCGGCGAGCAGACGATTGGGCTAAGAGTCTTGGCGCTGGTCCCGACCTATCCTCATCGACATCTCCTTGTTGAAGACAGGGTTTGGGGGTTTAGGCGTGTGGTGTGTAGGCAGTTCTACCGGGTTCAATACAGGCTTTCTTCAAGGCCACGATGGGGCTTATGGCTGTAGGTGCTTCGAGGGTGTAGGTTTACTAGGACCCGCAAGAACGCTGTAAGCGCATCCCATACCCCTCACCATCAAGAGGTAGCTACGGGCCACCACAACGGCTAGCTCAGGGTAGGGTTTAGGAAGTTTAGGGCTTAGGGTTTTTTTCCCACCCAGGGTCACAGTTTCGGTCTAGGGCTCCGGAAGTTTAGCCGAGAGCCGATGTGACAAACATAGCCCGAACCGTACCGATGCAGAATGCTTCTAAAGCAAGCCTTACCTGTGACTCCGACAGCCTACTGTTTTTGCAGTGCTACAGCCTGAATTTTGGGAATCATACACGACCCGAAGCCGAAGCCCTTGCTATCCCGTACATAGGCTTTGAGGCTAGACTTAGGGTTTCGAGGATACTGCGCGAAAACTCGTTGCAAGCCGCTGCCGGCGGCCTGATCCTCTGGAGTCCGAACGACTCGCGTTCTGAACAGTTTACGGCTTTGGGGTCCTAAACTCAAAAGGCCAAACAGCAACCTCAGCGCTTAACCCAACATATGAAACACCAAAAACGTTTTAGTCTTGCTGCCTGCTGCGCCATTTCAGCCGGGTGTCTTCGGTACTGAGTCCGCCATTGGTTCGTGTCTTGCTCTTCCGCGAGAGTTTTTCTTTGCTTGTCCAGCTCCCGGCGCAGTCGCTGTCTCTCTTCAGCCTTCCAGCCGCTTCTGGGGTGATCTGCGGTTCTAATTTGGGGTCTATATAGGGTTTATAGGATTTAGGGTTTAGGGTTTTAGGTTTTAGAGTTTTCTAGACCCCCAACCCCATACCCCAAATCCCTTTTGGCTGTTTCGGGCCTGTACCATCTCCTTGCGAAGCTCATGTCCTCGGTTGTCCAGAGCATGTCCGCGAACAACGGTTTAGGGTTTAGGGCTTAGGGTTTAGGTCCAGACTCCAGTCCGAACAAGAGGTCAAAAAGCAACAAACCACAGAGAGTTACAACAGTGAAACCAAACTCATACATGCATGTCTTTCAATTTCCAAGAAGAGCAAAGCAAGTGACATTTGTGCTCGTACGCCAAGTGTCCCTTCGCACGTTCCGCTTGCACTTGCTGCTTCGTCGCTTCGATCTCGGCCCGCAGGCTATCCGCCGTGGCATCTGCCATGGCTCCCCCTCGCCCACAGGGCCTACAACTCAACACATCTTTATTTTGTTTAAACTCCGCTGTGCACTGAACATGGCTTCAGGGGTAGGTTGTAGTGAATACTGACATTCTGCCAGCAGAAGGACTGATACCAGGTATTGCAGTGTGCTTAGCTGGACGGTGTGTCCTGTATCAAGACACGGATAAGAACCTCGGTAACCATGTCGAAACCATCGAAACAGGTTAAGCTGAAATGCAAGCTGGATCCCAGGACGCGGGCATGAAAGCGGTGCCACAAGGGTTTAAGCCCTAGAACTGAGGATCGAAACTCAGTGCAGCTGTCAGACAAGGCAGATCCCGGCAGCCCCGCAACAAAAACCGCCCAAGCTTGATAATTATTCAAGGCTTCGGGGCCTTTTCCGAGCTGAGGGTTCTGGCCCTTGGATCCAAAACACGCTTCCTTCTGCACGTGGCGACAAGAAGCACGAGATGGAAAGCGCTGGGCATGCCTTCATATGCAAAGCCCACAATCCTACAAGACGCCCCAAACTGATTTGACACTGAACATTACATCGCAATAGAAAGCAAGGCCTCAACCATGGTCTAACCATTAAGTATGGTCTAAGTCTTGATCTTTGCCACAGCAATAGTGTCAAGGGTGCAGTGCAAACGAGTATAGCAACGATCGGTACTACACATCCTCTGACTGTGCAACCCCAACAGACGCATGGCGTAAATAACACTGAACTCCACCAAAGCCCCTAAGGTCCCGGTGTCCGAACCCACTGGCCCGGATAAGCCCATCATCCAAACAATCGTAAAGGAGAGACCCTAAACCCTGAACCCTAAGAGAAACAAACCCAGAACGGGTCATGAAGGTTTCCTGCTCAGGTACAAGATACAAGGAGGTCCGCACTGCGTGGTGGGTGCTTGTTATTATTCCAGTCACATTCTTAGAGGCTCGCGGGCTAAAGACGTCGAAACGTAAGATTCCTTGCATGCTGTTTATATAACCCGATGCCTACCACCTGCCGCCTGAGTCTGCATTCGCAAGGCCCCACAGACAACAGAAATGCTCTCTCTCTTGTGGTAGGCGGGTGGCGTAGGCGGAGGTCATCTCACCCTCCGTTCTTTCCGACCTTGACTGTGCATTTAAAACCCTTTTTGCAACAGGCTTTCACCCTAAACCCGACACCCTAAACCCTACACCCTAAACCCTACACCCAAAAACCCTAAACCCTACACCATACGCCCTAAGCCCTAAAACGGTTCAGTCTTCGGGCTTAGGAGTTTGGGGCTCGGCGTAGGGCGTCAACTCGAAGCCCCAATGCTTAGAGAACGGTTTGCCCCAACCCCCCAGGTACCTACTATGTAGGGTACTAGAGCCCCTAAGGCCCTATATAGTAGGTACGTGGGGGGTTAGGTTTGGCGGGTTTCTACACGGTACTTGCAAGAAGCAAGCGGTAGGGACTGGCGATACTAGGCCTAAACCCTAAAGCCTAAACCCACCCTACAATACGAAGTCAGCGTTTCGGGCTTGGGACTCGGTGTCTGAATCTTCAGGGATCGGCTTAGGACTAGGATCCAGGGCTATCCAAAACAGAGCGTTAGGGTCTCGGATTCTTGAGTTAAGAGCATATTTTTGGGGGCTTGGTTTTGACGCTTCTTATCCGCCTGACATACTCCATTAGTATAGTTTTTTTAAAGAAATTGGGGTTTAAGGGTCTAGGATTTACGAGTTTGGGCATCGTTAGACTTCAGGGTTTAGGGTGTGTCGGACTTCCACATGTGGGTGGTTTTTTGGGTCCTTATTATAATACGGCACCTATTATTTAGGGTACCCGAAAAGGGACCATAATTTTGACAACCACCCATGTAGTTCTCGTGGCTTGCCCCAACTCACTGGCTTCTGTCTGGCGCAGTTGCCATCGCTGAGAACGAACAGGAACTCCCACAGTGGTACACCGTTTAAGGAATTAGCGGTTATGACAGCCACATTTCAGTTTTTAATCTTAGTCTTTCAGTTTATGCCCGACACGGCCCAAAGCCAGGAGTCTTGAAGGCGGGTTCATGATCACCCCAAGCCCTATAGGATGATACAGGTATAAGCACCACAACAGGTTGAACCTAGAGAGCCCGGTACAGCAAAGCCTGAAACAATCTGAGGACCCATGATCTGATACAGCCCATATGGATAGTTCTGTAAATTAGGGTCCGTTTTTAGGTCCCCAATATAGTACGGCTCCCTTTAAAAAAGGACCCTAACAGGGACCCTAATTTACAGAACGGCCCATCTCCCTTAATTGACGGTGTTGGGCTCACTGGAAAGCTTCCGGTTGAGAGTCCTCTCTGGATGCAGGAAGCTACTTGTCAACTTTCCCGGGGGGAAACCAAGCTTCAGATTATAAGATTTATACACCTCAGCACGTACCCAACAACTAAGGGAACCGAACAAATCAAAGATCCGGATGCCGCTGGGCCCTGCGATGCCAAGAACCTCCAAATCTACCGCCGGAAACCCCGAAACGGAAAAGGAGGCCAGAAACTCTCAATGCTCAATGCAGCACAGTCAGAGAACATGAAAGCATTACGCGATCATGGGCTGGAAACTTAAAACCGAAAACGTAAACTTGCTATCAAGTTCTCCGGTTCATAAGCAACAGGCAACAGCATTTAACATCTGGAACGTTTAGCTCATGTGAGCCAGATGAAATAAGACTTGAACCTGGCATTTGGTGGACCCAAACCCTGCGAGACCTAGACATGTTGGGTTTAGGGTCGAGGGTCTAGGGTCTAGGGTTTAGGGTTTAGGGTTTAGGCTGTAAACATGTCCTTGGGTTTCGGCGTTGGAGGGGGAGGGGCAAGGCAAGGCAAACTATGCTCCGGACATGCCCATCTCAGACCACTCGGTAAGTAGCCGCAGCACGTCCTAGAGGTGTCGGAGTCGTCTGGCTCAGGGATCCAACCAAGTAATATGCGGGGCTTAATACATGGAGCAGGCCGCTCTGCATGCATGTATGTACGGATGTACGTACATATAATGTTCGTATGTATGCATGCACATGTGGATGGGTTTATCTGAATACAAAGTGTAAGTGTGTGTGTGTGTGGGCGTGCGTGTGCGTGTGTGTGCGTGTGTGTGCGTGTGGGCGTGTGTGTGTGTGTGTGGGTGCGTGTGCGTGCGTGCGTGTATGTAAGTATAAATGTATAACCCCTCCCCCCAGGTTTAGGGTTTAGGGTTTGGGTTTAGGGTTTAGGGTTTAGGGTCCAATAAGTGATTGAAAGAAGCGTGAGACCCAATGAGCAAAGGCAAAACCCCAAGACCTAAAAGCCCTAGTTAAAACTCTACACTCCAGGCCGTTAGAAATCTTATTATATAAGTATGTAACAGTAAAAAAACAATAGAGCCCTAAACCCTAAACCCTAAACCCTAAACCCTAAACCCTATATCCTAAACCCTAAACCCTAAACCCTAAAACCGTCAACTCCGAGCCCAAGGTCCTCCGCACCAAGCTGGCGGGCACCAAGTTCCTGCAAAGGCACGGCGACAGGCTTACTTAAAGGATCATGGTTTAGGGTTTAGGGTTTAGGGTTTAGGGTTTAGGATCATGGGACT